GTTCAGGGTTTACGGTTTAGGGTTGGAAGCGCACTCACTTCGAATTCAGTAGAGAAGACGTCGTTGAAGGCTTCGTTCTCGCAAAACGCAAGTTGTAGGTGTGAGAAATATTGGGTGGCCACTGACTCTTCTCGGGAACGCCTCGTTTTCCCTCCTCGCGAGTCGGCCCGTAGCAAGCAGGCAGCCAACGGCCTTTGGAGGGTTTTCGGCTGGATCATCCTGCAAGACAGACTCAATACACAGTTGTCACCGAAGTCGTCGGCACCATTAGTGCCGGTCGTAGTGGCCACCATGCATCTTGGTCGCAGCCCCCCGGCACGGCAGCAGATTTTTCGCCTCATGTTGCGAAGCAGCTGTCGCAATGCGAGGTCGAGCTGGGCAGCTGTATAGGCCGTTGTGCAGGTTGCAGGGACTAGTTCGTGAGGGTTCTGGATCCTTTGCTGCAGCGCATGCAGCATGTCAGGTATAAAGACAGGTCAAAACAAGTCACCTAAGCTCGAAATCCTGAACTGGTGATTTGAATCCTGAACCCTGAACCCATGCGCCTGGGCCGCCTGGTTGTGAAAGTCAGAAAAACCATGTGCCGGACTGTCCAGGTTGGAACTTATCATTCCAGAGCTTGCATGCGTTAAGGTGTAGCGGTAGTAGGGCAGGGAGTCGGAGAGTCATGGGATGGGAGGAGTGGCCGCAATACACCGCGCTGACTCCTGACGGCAAAGTCACAGCGGACATTGGGTTTTTTTCTGCAAAGACTTGCTTCATTTGCAGTTCCATGGTGTTCTCCGAGTATGTGATCTTGGTCGTCCAAGCCTTCAGGATTTTTGCATGTGCTGATCTCCAGCATCACCCAGGAACGCCATCTTCGACCAGATCTCCACCATTGTGAAAACGAAGAAGTGCCAGCCTCGCGAACGATTCCTCCTGAAGGAGTGCAGCTATCCTTCCCCCAACCTCGCAAAGAGAAACATCCCGAGAATTGGAGCATCAGCCACAGCACTGATGGTAAATCTTCAAGATTAATGAGCAGCAGAAGCAGAATTCGAGACTGTTCCTTTGATCCGGGAATTCAGCAGTTTTCGGTTCAGTCTTTTGGAGTTCCAAGCCCTAGGCACTCACCCCAAGCCTGCACCTGACCCCTGGAATCCGGGGTGTATGCAGTTCGGGTTCAAGGCAGGAAAGGAATGTGACATCGCAGCCAAGCATGGTAATTGTTCACATTGGTCTCTTGTCCTGCTTGCTGCAAGATTCCCCACGGCACAGGCATGTACAAAGTACCCTGTCCTGCTGTTGGACTTCCCGCTTTCGAAGGGCATGCACTGTTGTTGCTTCACAGAAGTTCCAGGAAGTTCTTCCTCAGATCGGACATGTGAACCTGCGGACTCGGCGAGAGTTAGGGAAATAATACGGGGCCCAGTATGCTTTAGGATATTAATCATTATGCATTATAGCAGATTATAGTACATACATTAAGGTATGTTATAGTAGGTCAAGTACATGATTTGTGGGTTCTGTATGAAACAATTTAGTCCAGTATAGTAGATTATAGTACATGATATGTGCTGAGGGGCCGAGACCCAAGCAACCCAGCTGGTGCAAAGACGTAACTGCTCAGCCACGGCAACAATCTGGTGAATGTAGCCTCCAGCAGCGTTCAAGCACTTGAATGGACCAGGTCTGATCCGCAACGTGCGAAACATACATCCTAGAAGCCCTGCAGGCAGGCAGTCATGAAGAAATAGTTCATCACATTGGAGCCTTATTTGGAGCCTGATTCCACATTATATTATACTATACTAGTTTATGCTGCATTAGATATTGTTTTATACTTCATTATAATTTTCTGTATTATACTTCACCATAATATTTTGTATTATGCTGCATTATTTTTTATTCTACTGTATTATTTTGTATTATACTTTATTATATTGCCTTCTTTTTCAGGACCTGTTGGAGCTTCGGGCGGCCGGATGGGTGGCTTTGCTGCTGTTAAGCGTCGAAAGATGAGATGCTCTATAGGTCTCTATATATATATATATAGATCCGTGTCTATCTCTGTCTATCTACCTACCTACCTACCTATCTATCGATCTATGTATCTATTTATCAATCTATCTGTCTACCAATCTATCTACTTATCGATGTAACTATCTATCTATCGATCTATCTATCTATCTGCCTATCTATCCATCTATCCATGTCTTTGTCTATCCATCTATGTAACTATCGATGTAACTATCTATCTATCTACCTATCCATCTATTCATCTATCCATTTATATATCTATCCATCTATCTAACTATCGATGCAACCCTGTCTTTATCGATCTATCCATCTATCCATCCTTCTATCCATTTGTCTATCTATCCATCTATCTAGCTATCGAGGTAACTATCTATCTGTCTATCTATCTATCTATCTATCTATCTACCTATCTATCTATCCATCTATCTATCTATGTATGCATCTATCTTTTTATCTATCTATCTCTCTATCTATCTATCTACCTATCTATCTACAAGCTATCTATGTATCCTTCTATATGGGGGTTGTCTTAAAGACAAGCTAAAGGAGTAACCTTCGGGAATACACTTGCTTAACCGAGTGTGCTAAGCGGAAGGAGCCTACTCCTGGGCTCTAGCCGACAGAGTTGTTGAACATACACCTTGGATACTGCCCAAACTCAGTAACAGTTGGATAATATTCGTAATAGAGATATATACGGCCCTTAATAGTAGCCCTATTATAGACTGTTACTGTATTGGGGCAGTACCCAACATAGCCTGGACTACTAGACAAGCCAGCGAGCATAGGCTTTCCAGAAGGCAGAGCGGCGTGGCTAGTTGTATTCGCTGATGTTTTGTATCTGCTGAGGGTTCCTGGGCCCAAGCATGACATAGACAGCACTAGCGAGGTCACCTTCCGACCCCGGAGGCTGGAAAGGGCCATGACGCTGTCCCAGGCGCAGCGGCACTTCGGATGTCGTCCTTGGGGATGGATGTCCGTGGGACCTGCATAAATTCGGGGTGTGACGGCTCCGTCCCGAGCCCAGCCGATTCCAAGTTGTGGCATGTTTGCTGAGGTGAAGCTGTTGTGACCAGATACATAACACATTACCTCAACATAGTGTAGCATGTTCGGGGTTCATGTCATGACAACCATCATCATTATCTTTATGCTTGCCAGAAGCATGCTGGGTGCCATGATCATCATCATTCTCGATACTCTTGCCCTCTCTCCTGCCATCGTCCTACCCAGCTGTCAAAACTAACGTCGTCACCGTCATCGCTGAAACCATCGCCGCTGCCATTCTGTAGAACCATGGTGAGAGTCGGCCACAGTAACCCGCGTCATCACCATCTTCGTGCTCATGGTAGTGGCTGATGATTCCGGGGGCGTTGCCAGACGGGCTCTGACAGCCACGGCCATCCAAAAATCATGCAACTACTCATGGCGGTGAGAGTTTGTTTACCGCCTGGCTGGTTTGGGGTTTTGCTAGTCGGGCTGTAGCAGTTTTTGTGCTCTGTGTTTCGCATCTCAACCCATCACTCAGCCCCAAACTCCAGGCGAAGTAAGTGTGCCCGTCCAGGTTGCGGACTCTGCGGCGGGGCGGCGGGTAGAGCCCCAGGTGCGATCCCCGACTCGTACTAAAACGAATGCTTCCCCGGGGCCAGTAAACTGCACCAGTGGGTTTGGCGCTATTGTCTTTTCCGACAACCCTGACTTTGGGGAAGCTGAGAATTGTGGAGGGCGGGACTTATTGCCAGTATCATCCCTTGTGTGATTTTGAAGTTGCGGTTTCATGTAGCGCTGCTTTAAAGCCTTGGGGGCATTGGGCGGTTCGAGGGTTCAGGGCCCCGGCTCTTACGACCTTGGTCTCCGCGAGGTTTTCGGGCGCAGAGGGACTTGGCCCAAGACAGTTTCAGGCCAATAGTTTTCAATGTTGTTTCGGGCTCCTTTATGGTATGTTTATACTGGAGAACCCACTGATATAGCCTATTATTTAGGCTAACGAAGGTGCTTCGGGGTTTACTTACAGGATTAAAAATAAGGCATCAAGCATTCTTCCCTGGCAAACTACATGGGGGTTTCCGAAAATAGGGGACCCTAATATAGTACCCTAAGTAATAGGATCCCTATTATCAGGACCCCAAAATAAGGTACCCTAATTTTCTGAAACTCCCATATACCCTATACACCCTGAACCCTACACCCTAAACCCTAAACCCTAAACCCTAAACCCTAACCCATAGCCCTATGAAGAGTTCAAGATCGGAAGCTGCAGGGTTGGCACTCGCACCGCGAGAAGACACCGGGAGGCTTCGAGTTTCCTGAACCCTACTGTAGGGCCATAGTTAGAATAGGGTTTAGGGTTTAGGGTTTAGGGTTTAGGGTTTAGTATAATAATATGGAGCCCCTAATAGTTAGAATAGGGCTTGGGGGTATAATATACTATAATTACTGTAGGGCCTTAATAGTTAGAATAGGGCTTGTGGGTTATATTATACTATACCTACTGTAGGGCCTGGCCTTAATAGTTAGAATAGGGCTTGGGGGTATATTATACTATACCTACTGTAGGGCCATAGTTAGAATAGGGCTTGTGGGTATATTATACTATACCTACTGTAGGGCCTGGCCTTAATAGTTAGAATAGGGCTTGGGGGTATATTATACTATAATTATTATAATATGGAGCCCCTAATAGTTAGAATAGGGCTTGGGGGTATAATATACTATAATTATATAATAATATGGAGCCCCCAATACCCTATTCTAATTATTAAGGCCCCTACATTCCATGCTGATGGCATTCGGCCCGATGCAACGGATCCGGGCTGTGCAGGCGATCCGCATGGTCAGTGCGGCGCCAGTCTTTGACCAGGACCGGGCCTGTGAGCTAAGGGTGTTTGGGGCCTGAGGGCTTGCAAGCGGGAGGGGTTTAGGGTTTAGGGAGAATCTCAGGTCTAGGAGGGCGAAGTGGACCCTCGACCAAGAGCCCAGCCCAGCAAGCGAGTTTCCGCGCCACAAGGGAAGCTCGCAACCTTCGCGCTCACAGTTTTAGAGAAGGTTTGCTTGCGTGCCTGTGTCGAACCTCCGGATCCCGTCACAAGCCTGCATCGTAGATTTCCGCGGGCGCCGTCGGATGCGAGGGGAGTACGATGAGGCTGAATGTCTTTTTGCATCCAGGTCACTGGGGCCGATTGACTATGAATTTTCGTTGCATGTAGGCATCGCCCCATGGTGCCTTTGGAGTACAGAGACTGGTGAAACTATCCATGCATATGTCGAGCTTCCTGGAGACTTTTGTTGTGAATGGTCCACTTGATTGTCCTGATGAGGACAAGTTCCGTGAGGGTACGAAGAAGGCCCTCGTTGAGTGCCCTGGCAGGAGACTGATCCGACATGCACTGCAATCCTTGTGCTTGACTATGTTTGCCATGATCTCCATGGTTCTGGTTGTTGTGACTTGTCTTTATCGACAGCAGCTTTCCTCAGAACCTTGGGACAATTGGAGCTAAATACCCTGCTTTCGACAGACTGACTGCCAGGCTGCGCTACAGCGGCTGCTTGACCGAGGCCTGCACTAGCTAAGGATCAATGTTTGCCAGGGAATCATCACGGCCAGGGTGCGACATGACTTACATGCACGTGTTAATCTGCCGTAACCTTTTTCTCGTCCCGTATTGCTGCATGACATACCTGAACGCCGACCCCACAATATGATTAACACGGCAAGGCTGCACGCAACATGCAACGCAGTTATAGGCTCCAAGCCAACGTGCCGAAAGTCCCGACCTGTCGACATAATGTGCCTGTGGACACCGTGGAACTGGAATGGTGATACTATAGGGGCCTTCATAATTGATTAGAATTCGGTTTTGGGGTATATTCTACTATAATTATAGTAAGGAACCCCCAAAACCCTGTCCTAATTATTAAGGCCCCTACATTACTGCCATTGCAGCGATTGCCAGAAGGCCTCGGCGAGATTGGCATCCTTGGGCGTTCCGCCGGCCCCTTGCCGGGTGGTTAATCTGGGAGCATAAGTACGGTTCCTCGTTTTATAGTTATACTATAAAGGAGTCCACAACCCCATTCTAATTTTAAACGCTTCGCGTCGTCCGCCACGGCCCGGCCGCAATCAAAGAGGGCCAACGAACTGCTGGTGCCTTGAAGGCGCCATTGGCGGAGCGGACGAGGACCGGGGAAGGGGAGGAGATTGCGCACAGGGCGGGGGGGGCTCGGTGGGGGTGGGGGGCCGTTGAGGGGTGACGGCGGGGGTGAGACTCCCTACAGAGAGCCCAAATCCATTGGAGGAGGCGAGATTTCACCTCTGGACCCTGGGGCTCATTTTCGGGTTCAGGCCGGGGCCGAGCGAATTATTAGGGCCCCCACATTAAAGGCTCCAGGTTGCTTTAGGTTTCCAAAGACGTAGAGGTTTATGGTGTGCGGCTTCAGGACACAGGCGGAACAGGGTTGGTACTCGTAGTTGAAAGAAAGCTCTTCGAAGTTAAGACCCTCCGCCTGCATTCTTGATTGCTGAGGTTGCCGAACAAGCGGCTGAGCTGGCTCAGATCACAAGCCATGTGGTGCAGGCTCCCAACCCGCCTTTTTGACCCAGCAAATCTCGACTTGCCGGAAGTTTCGAGAATTCGGAGTACAAATGGACACCACATGGTCATCCTGCAAATGCGCAGACGTAGTATGCACGCTCCACCATCCGCAAACGTTTGTGTTTTTCGTGTTCTGAGAAGGTTGATTGCCTGAAACATGTCAGCCGAGCACCCGCCACTCCGACTCAGTATGACTGTATTTGTTGATTTTGGGGAGTGCTTTGCCAAGTACTTCGGCACTTGTTTCCCGTTCCTAGGAGTTCTCACTGAGTCTAGGCGTCATCAAGGTTGCAGCGGGACTCTGCGACACGCCTGGGTGAGGTTGTAACGCGCATGAATGTGCAGGCCCCGAGCCATTTCATTTCGTGTCTTCGTCGTGTAACTGTAGCGAAAAGTACGTTTGCGATAACGGCTTTTCGCCATGCCGACACTGCAAGGGATCGTATAGTGCCATGGGCTGCCATTGTAAACGTGCCAACAACAGAGTACTGCTCGCAACAGCCGCAACAGCTCTACAAAAATCGGCAGTGTTGGCGGTGCCTTGCGATACAAGAGCCCAATGCCCCAAATCATAGCTGCCCAAACTGCAAAGTGTAAACGAGCCTCTCAGGAGAAAATGCAAGTTATACTGCCCGAACCTACAAACAAGAGTTATGCTAGCATGGCCATACAGCGTAACGCACGAACGGAGGGAACGGGCAGCAAATCTGCGCCTGGAGGAAGGAGCTGCCGCAGCGCGCGAATCAGGCATGAAGGTGATGCTGGAGCTGGCAGGCGTTCTGAGTTTCAGCCTATAATATAGGGGCCTCAACAATTACCTTCATCATTTTAGGGGTTCCTTATCATAATCAAACTATAAAGGACCCCAAAACCCTAATCTAATTATTAAGGCCCCTCCCTAACCCCCAGGTACCTACTATATAGGGTGCTAGAGCCCCTAGGGCCCTATATAGCAGGTACCTGGAGGCTTAGGGCCTATATTAAACTGTTAAGGTTTCTGGGTTTAGCTTGGACAGAATGTCTGTGGCTCTGTCGGGCTGAACTCTGAGAACGATGTGGAAGTACACCATAACATACGACAAGAGACTAGAATACATTTACTATAAGATACTGGGTATATGCAGTTGTACTAACATGGACAGGAAGTTCTCAGTGCCCTGAGCATGAAGACGAAGCCGAGACCAGGGATGGGCATGCTTTCCTTCAGGATTGTACCTATAGTCTCCATTGTAGTTCCTTTTTTTGGTTCAACCAGTTATATTATATATTAAGGATTTTATATCTCCATTGTAGTTCCTTTTTTTGGTTCAACCAATTATATATTAAGGATTTTATAAGGTATCCCCCCAAAAGGAACTACAATGGAGGCTACAGGTAGGTTGAACTCCACAGGCTCCTGTTGGTTCGTTGCTTTTGCGTCTTGTGCAGAGTTTGGGTGGGGATGACATAATCTAAAGATACCCCGAAACGCTACACCGGCAAAAAAAAGTCTCCAAAATGATGTTCTGTGGCAAGCCTTGCCCTTTGCTTTAGACATGATGTTGTGCAGTTGTGTCCGTTGAGCGCTTTACCCAGTGGCCTTGACTTGATCCTTTTGCATTGCCCAACATGCTCGAAGCTTGCAGCCTGGATTCTGGCCTAGACTTGTTACCCTTCTCTGCATGAAGGGTAGCTGCTCTGAAACAGAATCGTCTTCTTGTGGTGCAGTTTCAGGCTTATGGGCCTTATTTAGTACCCTGAACTGTTTCGACACCTCGGAAGCCTTCGAAATACGAAAGCATTGTCTCCCAGCATCCTGCAGGCGTAAGCCGTTAAAGGCTTTTTCAACGGACTAAACCGATAAGCGCGCACAGCGTGTGTGCAACAGAAACCTCCGCAGGAAGCAAAGGCTGGGGTGCGGACGCGCTCTGCTCCGGGATGACGCTGTTTGTGAAGGCGGAGCAAGCTGATGGCTTTAACCTATCGCGAGTTGCATATTTAGGCTGTTCACGACTCCGCTGTACGCAACTTGCTGTCACAAAGGGTTGTCATCTCGGAAAACCAGCAAACAAGATTTCAAGCTCAAGGTTTTAATTTCAAGGCTGGTTCGAGTGTCTGGCTCGTGCAACTCAAAAGCCGGCATACCTTTAGAATCATTAGAAGAACAAAATCATGTCAGCCGTGACTTCCACGGATACGGGCGTCTACAGTTGTGCGTGCTTCCCACCCTCGTATGCTCATTTGTGGTTGGACTCGCATTTGTCGCCATTTCTGCAGCTGCACTTTGTACATAAGCTGTAGTTCAGCTGCAACGTACTGCGTGGCGATGTATGTAGCATGCGTGGGTAATGCATCGAGCATAGACTTATAGCGCACAGCATCATTTGGCATTATGAGGTCCGACAAGACAAGGTGTAGTTTAAGTTGACATTACTCCCATGGGTAGAGAGCGAGGCTGGTCCATCTGTCCGTCTGTGTGTCTGATGGATCGATATCCAATTCGAAAGCTATAGTCCCTGAAGGACTTCATTTCCAGCATGGTCAGTTGACATGTTCTGCTTGTGTTTGCTTGGTCCTCAAAGGCATCTGACTGATGAGCCACCTCCGCAACTTTCTTGCCTAAGCCTGCCCCAGCCGTCCAGATTTTCAATCAAGCTACGCCTGGGGCACAAGCTTGAGCACGAAATGCACGGGCCGGGGTCATTAAGCTCCGCATGCAGGAGATCGCGCCGGACCTTTGCTACGACGTGCCCGGATTGCAGAAGATCTTGTCCGAGGAGCCCTTGCCCTTGCCATGGACAGGTTTTTCAGACCGAAGGCCGAACCTGACAGCCAGAGAGAGAGAGAAAGAGAGAGAGAGAGAGAGATATATATATATATATATATGGTCGCCCCCCCCCGTTGACAGACCATGCCCTCTCAACTGAGTAGATGTGCATGGTGTGTCATCGGATGGGTGGCGATCAGCCCTCACAAACTCAATTCCAAAATTTCCAATATTCTCGCCCCTAACTTTCCGGATTTCCAAAAT